GTTAATAATGTATTAATAAATATATTTTGTAATTAGTTTATTATATTAATTTATTAATTATTAGCACAGATTAGTTTAAATAGTATTAGAGGTTTAAATCAGCATTTATTTTGATTGGCTAACTAGTTTCGGAAGATTTCGCTAGTATCGTCCAGTTTCGCCAATTTCGTCTTAGTTTCGGATTATCGGAAAGTTTCGGATTTTAGTTCTTGAAAGCCGAAATGTTTCGACTTTAAGATTTTGGTTTCGCCCACAACTTTACTCCTATATAACTATTTGAAGGATTTTTTTCATAAAATATATTAAAGCAAACTCTTCCTTAATAAATCTTTAGAAAATGCAGCTTTTATATTACTAAAACTCTTGTATTTTCACTTGACTATTTCGAGAATTTTTCATATTGATACTCTTTTCATATTATATAAATGCCAATTCTGAACCTATAATAAATGGAATTACTAAAATAAATACTTAGAGAAAAGAATAATATTGTAAATATATATATTTTTTTATCTTGTTAAAAATTTGATTTAGAAATTGTCTTACTTTAGAAATCAACATGTTCTTTTTGTACTAGCAAATAAAATATCCAAAATAAGATCAAAAATGATAATCCCAAGTTGAAGATGCAAATTATTTTGCCTAATAACATAAAATTTGTTAAATACTTGATTTCATTTCAATTAGAATTATATTTCGCTACGATCGCTATTATTTCAATCTATAATTATTCAGAAAATTAGTTATGGAGAAATCGAAGGATCCGTTTCAACATTTCCGGTTGCACTAGCCAGAACAACTTTGAAGATGTATGAGTATCATCCGATCGACCAATTTTGAATGGAATAATTTTTACTATACCAAGAGGAAAAAAAGTTACGATCGCCCATTCATTATATAATTCTGAATAATGGGTTGCGTAAGCTATTTCCAGTCTTATGTTGGCGTAAAAAGCTTTACGTCCATCATCATAACAGATAAACAGCTACCGTCGTCAATCGAAATTTTATCATCATCTAATGGAAATAATTATATTTATCAAAATTTAAAATTAAAAAGGGAGGAGTAATTTTATAAATACTCACGTGTTGTAAAGCCAAGGAGTGATTCTTGGTATGCCCGATTCTTTACAAAATCATTTTCAATTGAAACGTAATATCTTTATCAGGCCAATAAATATATCTTAACAATAACGGTAGTTCCATCTTCTTCAAGTGATACATAATTAGTGACTCCTAAAAATGTTTTGACGTATAATTTTGATATTACTATTTGATAAATTAATAGTATTATATAATTAAAAATTGATATAAATAAATTTTCCGCATCACTTTACCTAGATATCTGGCTAATTTGTACAAATCGGTTGAGCTCAAACTCCAATTTTGAGTTCCCTCATGTAAAGCAAATATTTAGTAAAATTATATTTGCATCCAAAACTCTTCCCTCGATCCTCAATTATAAACTTCGGTGTCAATAAAATGTAATTATAAATAATTTGATCGCCTTTTCCATCATATAAACAACCCCATATGGAAATGATCTAACGTTATAAATATCAATCCGGAATCGTTGGTATAGTATTGTATATTTAATATATACATTTTCAGTCTCTCGATACGGTCCATTTTTGACAGAGTTACAAACTGGTTTGTAATACCTAATCTTCCTCCCATAGTAATCTCTGTACAAACCATATAATCATATTCTGATAAAACTTTGGTCAATAATTTGTATGGATTTATGTTATTTAAAGCTTCATTGATATCTTTAAACAATTGTTGAGATGGTTTAATTATTTGCTTTTCTGGGAAGTTTCTCTAAAGATGGTAATAATAACTTCTTCTTGAAAGAGATTACACTGCGTAATATTGGTAAAATCGGTGTTAAAAGGTGGTATAAATGGTATTTCTTCCAAATTAATTTTTTTTAAGAGCGTGATCAATATAAAGTTTGGAATATAATAATTCGTTTTGCATAATAAAATGTGTGATTTTCACTTTTGTTTGATTGCTTTGTTTGTACGGCTTAATTTAATTGATGGAACAGACAAAAATTCTAAAGCAAGCTTCTTTTCAGGTATAAGCCCATAAGAAGTTATCATCATGCCATGATTCAATTGATATACTTTAATTCAGAGTGGTAAATTCAAGTATATATTATCGAGTATCCAATGATCGAAGGTAATTTCTTCATGATGACTACTGGAATCAAACGATTAACAAACAATTTCGAGGGAGGTATTATCGACAGAAACCACACTTTCATATGCAATAACAGAAGCAGTTTCTAATTTGTATAGTTGATTCAAATATTACTGCCTAGAAAATGTAGTTTATAAATATTAAATCTAAAATCCCAAGAATCGAATTAAAGATTAAAAAAAAAATTTTTTTTTAAATGTAATACATACCAAAACCTTCATGTTGGTGATAGGATTTCCATTTGAACCTTCAATGTCTTTCAATTTTAATTGTAACATAGCTGACTTGAAAATTTTACTGATTTTCCAACATGTTTCATGATAATGTGCCTTCAACTGATCAAGTTCTAAAGGATTGTACATCGAGACGTTTCCAATGACCAAAGATCCTCCGACTAATAACTTTCTTGAAAAAATTCTTGATGAGTTTCTATCTGCGTCATCATTAGGACTAGAAGGTTGTTTATCAATAGACAACTCGATATCCACTAAAGGGTAATTCTAAGTATTGACATCCGTATTTGCAAGTAGAAGTATTTGATAATTTATTTTATAAATTTATTATCATTCAATTTAACTTCCAATAAGTCCCACGTAGAAATTTAACGAAATCTCTTGAGTTGCTTCATATATCAATATTTTGAGTATAATTTTCTAATTCCAATTGACTCCCATAAACACTTGGTTTGGAAGGAATAAATTTCTCCATTCTTATAACAAAGACTATAATTCAGTTTTAAAAATTTCACCAATGTTTTATCAGATTCGTTCATATCTTGATATTCGTTCGTACAGTAACAGAAAAAGTATAAAAAAGTACGATACTAATTCTTATTGAATGACTTATTTGGTGAAATAAATCTGTACAAATAGTTGTCCACAGTTTTGGATAAATAAATACGTTATCCTATAAAGTATTGAATAAGAAAAAAAAAATAAAAGGGTTTAATGAAAGAGAACGCGTGTTTTTTAATTTTATAGACATATTTAGTATATAAGAAGATTAGTTATTACGCGTTGGGTTGGGTGAGTTATTGTAACTAGTAAAAATAATGATTTTCAAGTAATATATACTGTTATATGGTTTGTTTCGAAAAATTCACAGGCAACAAAGTGCAAAATTATTGGAATTTTCACGACAATATAAAGAAAATAAAATA